CTGGCAGGAAAGTTGACATTTTAAACCTTAATAAAAAATCGATACAGGGCTTTAGAATATCAATACAGTATCGGGAAATGAAATATCGCGATATTTCAGTGTATCAATATTTTCTTACACTCCTAGTAGGCCGTGGACGTCACAAGACATTATACAGACAGGCTCTGGTACCATGGCTACCCAGCAACAGAGCTCAAAAGTGTGGGATCATTTTAAGAAAATGAAAGAGAAACCTGTGTAATATCTGCAGAGCAGAACTTGTCTTCCACAGCAATTATTTTTAGTTAGCATATAGCTAAAATCTAACCATAGTTATATAATAGCAGCTGCATTCTGGTGTGATAAGCTCTATGTTTTATATTCAATTAACGTATGATCTGATTAGTCGACTAATCAAATAAATAATAGGTGATTAATCGATTATTAAAATAATCGTTTGTGGCAGCCCTAGTTAGCAAAATATTTCATGAACCACTGGACGGGGGGCTGTTGAAATTTTCAGGAAATAATGTTTGATCGACATCTCCAAGTGATTGATGTGTGGAGTCAATACAATTTACGACTGCCTGCGACTCGGTCAGTTTTACAAGCACTGAACTAACATTTGGTGTGGTAGTAGCTGAGACTCTTTCACAACACATACTCAGAGAGAGTGTGCATTATGTTGATTTCAAGTTTTGACCAGAACAGCTACAACTGCATCATTAGAATGATCTTAGTAAAATAAATAAATAAATAAATGTAGCCTGAAAGGTGGCGAGCTATATGCATTCCTGTTTTTCAAGCACAGCTCATTTCCCTTTCCAGCTCTGCTCTCAAGTTGCATCAAGTTGGTACCACTTTGGGCCTGGCAGGTGATAACTTGATACACAAAGTGATCTCACCAGATTCAGCTACAGCCAGTCACAGTGACGCATGCAGAAAGAGAAGAAAAGAGCCAGGGCTGCAGACAACTGAAACTCATACAAATCTATTCTTCCTTCCTCCCGCCTTCCGTGACAGAGCAGCCATCGGCCATGTGTAGAAAGGAGAGGAGGCAGGGGGGAGAAAGGCAGGGGTTGTGAGGGAGGGGGCGTGAGGAGAAGATTTATGGGGGACGTTTATTACTACACAGCACTGCCTCAGAGAGGTGAGGGGAAGAGGGGTGGGGACAGAGAGAGGCAAAACATTCCCTTTCCCCTTCCTTTTCTTCGCCTGCACAGGAGCCACAGGACGAGGGGGGGTGGAGATCTTTGTTTCTCTCTCTGCCCACAGCGCAGGAGGCGGCAGCAGTACTTGTTGTTTCGGCCATAGAATGAGTCGAAACAGAGACACGAGGCCCCGAGTACAGTGCAAATACTGCGTCCTACACACAGTTACACATTAAATAAATAGCACATCAGACTTTTAGGCAAACACTTTTTCTGGACTCTGTCAACAAGCAGCGAGGGTGTGTTTGAACGTTAAAAAAAAAGTTTTACGAGGCAGGCCTGCGTGGAGTAATCTCCCCCTGGAGTGTTTTCACAGACGACAGGGTGGGATGACAGACTTGCTGGAAATCACGTCTGCAGTTCAAAGGCCTTGTCACTGATTGATTAAGTGGATCAGATCGATTGTCTCCCTCTGAAAGCAGGGAAGTGGGAGAACTCTCTCTCTCTCTCTCTCTCTCTCTCTCTCTCTCTCTCTCTCTCTCTCTCTCTCTCTCTCTCTCTCTCTCTCTCTCTCTCTCTCTCTCTCTCTCTCTCTCTCTCTCTCTCTCTCTCTCGTTTCTTGTGTGAAATGACTTTAAGGTACGTGTCACACATTGATTGACTCACGCTAGAGTTTAAAGGTAAGTAGTCCAGTGGAAAAAAAATCCATAAAGTAAACAAAATCCACAAATGCTTTTTTTTCTCATATTGATGGTTAAAGTGTCCTTAAATTAAAAAAAAATTGGAAGCAAAATTTAACAGCTGACGTGACTGAAAATAGGTCAACAATGGGGACGTTCAGAAGAGCTGCTTCAGTTGGAGAAGTCCAACAACTTTTATGTATTTACCCAGTAATTTGTTGAGTAAAGAATGCAGATAAAAGGGTTAGGTTACAACAGTAACGTAATGTTCGAATGKCAAGTTTTATATTTCTACCTAAATGTTTCATGATTGTATTCTTGTCTGATTCCACCGTATCTGTTTACCTGCACAAACTACAACCAGTGTGGTGTAGATTCATGTGGGTTTTTTTTAAAAAATTTTGGCAGATTCAATCAAGTTCTTTGTTTACATTGAGTGTGAGCCCACATTTCAGAGTGTAAACTCTTTCAAACGGAAACATTTGATATAGTTCCTGATTGATTTTATACTTTACAATGAGTTTGTATCASTTGTAATGTGGATACTAAATGTTTTGAAGGAGGTGTTTGTTTCCTGCCAACATAAAAGTACCATTAAAAATAAAAGTGCCTGATGGGATTTTGCTTATCAGCACGCAGTTTGTTAACCTCCTTAACCCAGTCTGACTTGACTCGGACACTGTGTTACAACACTTTGCATGTGTTCATCAGGTTATCTGTTTGCTGGTATGCAGAAAAGCGTTTTCTGTATTCTCACACTRAATCCCCCGTGGTTCAGAAAGACAAACAAATCCCTTTTTTAAATTTTGTTTTCTTTAAATTCACAAGCTTCCTCAATATTGCTTGCTTTTTAAAATTGCTTCTTTTTTTTACCACAGTAAGATGCCCTTCAGTGAAAAATGCCCCTCTGAAATCTTTAACAGGATGTCTTCACGTGCCTTGTTTTGTCTTGATACATTGTTTGAAATCCAAATATTTTCAATGTACCGTCAGATATGACAAAAATCTACAAAACGAGAAGCTGAAACGGAAGATGTTTGGCATTAGCGAGAAAAACACACCAACAAAACATCAGCTTTTCTGGCAATAAGCTTCAAAATAACCAAAACACGTGTTAGATTGATTAAACAGAAATGTTTGTTTTCTTTGTCTGGACCTAGTTTCTGTTGAGCAATCACATTTCTGTTGAGTTAATCTTAGTTATTTTTATGTGTGCCTTTCTCCTGCTGTTGACTGAGAGGAGTTTTCCCTCCCCAGAGTTAATTTCAGATAGTTTGTGCACCCTCAGGTCAAGGCTATCCTCCTTTTTATTTGGTTGAAGCTGCA